GGCTCAGGAATGAGAAGGAGCAGTCACAGGTGAGGTGACAGTGGAGGGGAGGTTAGGATACTCAGGCAGTAGTCACTAAGGCAATGGCACTGCTGACTATTTCCCTCCAAGTGCTTGACTGACACATAATAGAGGAAGGAATAGGTCTTCTGGCCACTCATTCTCACAAGAAGATGTGCAGGAGTCCTGGTGGATGAACCACAGGTTGGAAGTGCTAATGGCACAACCTTCTCCCACACTGAAGAGTAGCAGTACTTTGCTTAGTCAAAATAATCTTTTTTCTTATGAGGAAAAGAAAGACAAAATGCTTGAATGACTGACCACCACATGTGGGCAGGGGATGGTCTTCAGAACTGGAAAGTCTTCAGAATTGTCCTCCATCTACAGGCACTGGATCTGACATTTTACTGGTGCCAGACAGAAGGGCTTTGAGAAGTGTCAGAGACCTGGCAGACATGAGTAGCATTTTCCTGTCTCCCCAAGTGAAAACAGAGTGGACAGCCGATGCCTCTCTTGACTCAAATCTATGCTGCTGACTTGCTCTTTCCTTGGGTCACCCATCATGATAAGGTAAGACATGGACCTCTTCAGCACCTTGCTTGGGAAACCACAACAGGGAACACACCTGATTTACTTGAAAAACATTCTATCACTTCTGATATTTGAAATTGGAAACCAAGCGTTAGCTGGGTATTTGGGTTTTCCTAGTGTTACGGGTGGGGGTGGGGGTGTGGCAACCAACTAACAGCAGGCACTGAGACTGGCAAAGTGAACCTATATCAAAGAGGACTGACTGATGGTTATGGAGTCTGACTATTGATACAGACTCTTAGTGGTCCCTGTGTTCTCTGATGACCTTTGGGTTAGTGCATGTTCTTGAGCCATTGCAAGCACAGAGGAAGAGGGTCTGAACTTGGCAGTGGGTATTTACTAAGAGACTGGATGGCAAGAATGGAAGAGCTGTGGAAGCTGGAGGCCAGCACTGATGTTTCAGTAGGCAAGAATAGCATTGGGAACTGATACACAGCAAAACACCTCTGAAGAGCATAACCAGAAGAGCATTACCAGAAAGACCTGTCAAAACTGACGGAAAATCAGGGGACTAGCAGAAATCACAAGAATGAGCAGGACCACACACACATGATTTCTGATGATGGCTGAACACAGTCCTCCACACTGACCACCCCCAAACAGTGTTGGAGGACCACAAAGCCCAAGAACTGAGGGGTCTCCACAGTGATAGGACCTGGAATTTTTTCCACCGGGAGAAACAGCTGCCAAACTCTGCAGGCTTTGTTTGTCGGTGGAAGCTGATCTGACTGCTTTGTAACAAAATACAGAGAATGTCTCTTCAGGAACCCAGCAAAGACCAGAAGAAAGATGTGGGGAAGAAGAGATGCCTTCTGTAGCATAGCTCGGCCCCATCTCTTCCGTCTGCTAGAATCCCCCAATACACAACGTATTTTGCATGTCTTGGGAGTGTATTGTCTCCATTTGCACCTTTTAAAGTCCTGCATAGTAGCACAAAGGGGATGGCACAAGGAGGTTGTGGGAGAGGAGAGAACTATGCTATGGAAGGAAGAGACCCTCATCGGTATTTCTGCCATCAATACTTTGGGGAGGAAAGAAAAAAAGAATCCAAAACCCCAAACCCCACATTAAATTTGCACTTGTTCTGTCAGGCTGGCAGCCTAGAAGTTCATAAACTCAGAAGTACCTTGTTCTGGAGTAAACTGTTCTGAAAACAGTTTCCAATGGCTTCCCCGAGTTTGCTTTGCTGGTGGCAGCCCTTCGGCTCCATGCTGGCACATGTATGAAGCTCTTTGAACAAGTTTTGACCTTCCTTTAGCCCCTCTGCCCATCAAGCCAGCTAATGACATGCTTCGTATTGCACAGAACACATACAATTGACAAGTTCATAGTGTTGTTTAAATATTAAACAGTCTAGACAGGCTTTTGAGTCTTACGCCGCTATGAAAAGGCTCAGACCATACCCATCTCTGAAATTGGGCTGCGGGATCATTTGCACAGTAAGACAGACAATTAGACTTGTATACATTGCCATGCAACAGAAGAGACCCCGAACCGCCAGCCCTAAGTGGAAAGTTTATTTCTAAGCACAATATATGGAAAAATCAAACCAACAAACCCCACAGATATAGAAAACGTTGTAGCAAATCCCTGGTCAAGTAGGACTTCATGTCTGTCACTACCCTGCACCTCACAGCCACTTAAAATGTCATGCAATGGAGGAGAGGGCACTCGGACGACACCCTCCGCTTCGGATCAAGGAGGATCTCCAAGCAGGAGAGGGCCGGTGGGACTCCCGCTGAGTGATTCGGACTGTAACCAGCAAAAGGGCAGCGCTGCTCACCCCCACCACACGCTTCGTGACTACCGGTGGTAGACTTAGCGCTTCAACAGGCTTTACCAACGTGGATTTTCACAACACCCCTGTGAGGTAGGTACGTATTGTTATTCCCCCTTTGTGTGGAGGGGGGACTGAGCCAAACAGCCCAAGGCTACAGAGTCGGTGGCAGAGCTGGAGTGAGAGTATGCAGAGTTCTGTGTGCTCAGAGTGCTAGATCACACCACTCTTTCACGGCAAGTTGTGCTTCTGACCTCATAAACTTTTAGCCGTTAGCAAAATTAAAGGAATTTGACTTCTCCATAATAAATGAGCAGAGGTCAGGGAGGGAAACAACATCATGTCTGACAGCTGTCCCTTCGTCTGTGTATGCTTCCCCCTTCCCAAAACCACCATAACTACTCATCTCTTGGAAGGAAGACAGCTTCCAGGACAGGCATGGGGGCGAGAGACTGCTGTGTTTGCTTGCTTTGGCCAGGTTTCTTTCTACTGTGGATCAGAAGCGGTTCTTCCAGAGACCGTTTGTTGCAACACCTTCATTCTGGGGGTAGCTGCTTTCAGAGATGATTGGAATTGCCCCTTCCCTCTCCCTTCACCCACCAACATCCCTTCCCTCCCCTCTGCCAAAAGCACTCTTTGGTAGATACTAAGATTGGTCAGATAAAAGTACAGTGGCCTCAGAAACTGTGCTGTTTCACATGGGTCCTCAGCAAGTCAGCTTTCTTGGCCGGCGTTTCACCTCCCACATTCTCTGCCAGAGAAGTACCTGTTCTGTTGCATTCTGATATTCAAAGGGACACTGTCAAGTAACTGAGGTGAAAAATAAGCCCTGCCCTAAGATGCTAACCTCCATCTTCAACGTTGCAGAATGGCTGGTGTGTTCAAACCCGGAGGCTGAACTTTGCCATCTTCTCTGGCCCAGAAACACCTGACCCATGACGGCCTAGCTGCCAAAGGAGCTGGTGGCTCACGTTTGCCCTGGCTCCAATAGAAGCTGCGAGATGTGCTGGTATAATGACGGAAGGCAGTTGGATGCAGCCGTTGTGCAACGTTGCTCAGCGCTGCTGCTAAATGGATGCAGTTTGGCTGAAGTCCTTATCTTAATTTTAGGTGAGACGGGTTCGCACTTATCACTATGGGTTCATTGGTCTGGGATTGCTGAGCTGCTACTCCTCAATCAGCTAATCTCTGTATTTTTAGGGTTCCTGCTCTTACGCTTCCTTTGCAGCAGCTACACTGGAGAAACAGCTTAGCCCTGCAGAGCTGGGGCACGTCCTCCACAGAGCGAAGGCGGTCGGCAGGAAATCCGTAACGTGGATTTCCTCCTGTCGTGGAAGAAAAATAGGGAAGAGAAGGATGGGGATGGTGAAAGGAATAGGGTGAGTGGAGAGAACGATACTTGCCCAAATGGAAAAGGCAAAAATCGGCACGGAAAGAATTTTTATTTTCAAGCCTGTAAGAGAGTATTACAAACAATGGAGAGTAAAAAAAGCCCCAACCCTAAAAACTATTTTAAAAGTACTTGACAGTGTCCCTTTAATATCCACAAATGATTCAGCCATTGTGCATTGAAAGAGAATGTTCCTGAAGAGCAACTGGTACCTTTGAGGATATATCCCAGAGAAGGAGACTTATTAGAAGTGTTACATATTTGATCAGCAACTGTGCTCCCTCTTCAGACTAACTCTCTCTTGAATGATTGAATGGGACAGACTCTGTAATAAACTAACAGACGGGATATGAAACGCTCAGCCTACAAGACTGAGCAAGATTGTTGCAAATCAAGCAGCAGGGATACAGACACTGAAAAAAAGATATACATCTCTAATGCAAGAGTGCCTGAATCAGCAAGGAAGCAGAAACCCACCGAGATGGGTCAGCTTCTTGTGATCAGAATAAAATGGAAGGAAATTAACCTGGAAAGCCTGCATGGAAAATGATGCGTGTGAGTGGCGAGATTTGGATGCTGGACTTGGGGTTATGAAGGCATAAATGACACCAGTACTTGTGCTTGAAACACCTGTGGAGCATTTGTACAAAATTTGCCAAAAATGCCTGTATGTCGAACAAAGGTCATAGAGTGCCCTCCCCCCTCCCAGTTCCACCCTTCTAAACCCCTTGTCAGGAACATCATGAAAAAAAACCAGGATTTTTGGTGAGATTTGGGTATGCCTGGGTTTTGTTAGATTTTCTTGGTGGGATGATTCAATCTCTCTGTAAATCAATACCAAAAAATCCCCAGCCATTTCACTTCAGGTATCTTATGGTAAATTGAACAAGGCTCCCGAGTGACTCATGAAACAAAACAACTCATAGCCCTGGTTAATCACAGTCTGGAAAATAAAAATACTCCAAATATTTTGTTCCCTTCCTTGTTTTTAGAAATCTCACACTGTGTGTGTGTGCGTTTGTGTTTGTGTGCACGTGCATGTGTGTAGGGGTGTGTGTGTACAGAGCGTTACCTATTCCAGGTAGTAAGATTTCTAAGACATGCTAAACCGTCTGTTCCTCTGCTTCCCCAGAACTCTGCCTACTCAGTTTGTAGTCTGTATTGCACTTATTTTGTTGGTTTTTTTTTGTGATTTGTGGTGTTGTTTTTTTTTTTAATTTTTTTTTCTTTTTTTTTTTTTTAAACTGGCTGGAAAACATCAACCTCTTTAGCATGAGTGTGCAGCTCTCCCTCCACCTGCTTTTTTCCTCAGCTGGCCAGGTGCCGCCTCTTACACCTTGTGCAGTTACCGAAAAAGAAAAGGAGAGGAGAACAAAAAAAAAAAAGGAAAAGAAAAAAAGAAAAGGAAAGAGAAAGAAAAAGGCACACCATGCTCCTCTGCTTTATGAGTTCTTTGTCTCCTCCGCTTCGTGTTAAGGCCTCCTGAATTCCTCGGCTCAGACCGTCGTGACCCTCATGACGAGCTCTCTGTTACTACTAGACTGACTCCTCTGTTCGTGAGGCCTCAGGTGGCTGAGTATATGAAGGATGGTGTAAGCACAGTGGTGGTCAGAGAGGGTGCCTGTGGCATGGCCGGCAGCCCGTGCCCCGCTGTCGGCTGGCGCGGAGTTAGTGGCTGTACCACCAGTGGAGGACGAGTGGGTGGTTTGGGAGGAGGGACGCTGATTTGTCCTGGTCCCTGTTTTTTGTTCCTCCATGTCCTTTGTTTTGTCATAGTTCAGCACTTTCCACTGCTGATTGACCGCCTGCCACCGTTTAAAAATCCGGTAAACCGAGGGCCCTTCATGTATTATTAGACCTGGAGGGAAGGGGGAAAGAAATAAACATAAAACAGAAACAAAACTTTAGAAAGAACCATAAACCTATCCCAGCATCCTGCCCCCAGCTAGCTGGTTAGCTCAGCTCTCCCTCAGTTGGTGCTTATTCAATGATAAATCATGTGTTTTAATTACCGACTGGCAGAGCACTGGTGCTCCTGCTCTGCTGGATCCCTTTTCCCCTGAATTAAAAGGATTACAGCTTTATCTCAGCAATCAATAAACGGATCGTAAATGCAGCAGAGTGAGTTATGCTCTTACAGCAAAACAGTATCTGTTTACCAAGACGTGCCCGAGGTTTATCTATCACTGGACTAGTTTTGCATGCTGCACAGGCATGATTCACCGAGCTAATGGCGTGTGTTTGGAGGGGGTGTAACTGGATCTGACGTGCCAGTGACGTCTGCTGCACCACCGTCGTGTGCGTGCACAGCCCAAGCCTCTCCCCACGCACATGGAGGCCAGGGGCAGCAACCGAGCAAAAAAAGGGTCTATCTATACCTGTAAATGATTTGTCATCCTAGGCAAAGTTTTGCTCATCTGCAGAGCCAGGTACCTCATCGTACGTCATTGCTCCCCTCCAAGGAGAAAATGCCACGCTTGAAAGCAAGGGCAGTTGAGTTTACACCGTGTGTGCGTTGAGTATGCACGTAATGCATATGTCCTGCTACCTGTCTGCCTATACCAGGGCTGATGTCCAGGGGATGGCACTGGGCTGCAGGACACCTGGCTTCTAATGGTCTCCACATTTGAAAAAGAGTGAGCAGCTTAGGCCCTTCCACCCAGCGGTTAACTCACTTCTCAGTGGTCTCTGGCGTCCTCCTCACCCTTGCAAGAGGACTAAAAGATTAAATAATGTTAGAAGTTGTTTAGACGATTACAGTACTTGAGTATTAAGCTCTGTTTAATAACAGATGCTGCCAGGCTCTGGCTAGACCCTTTGAAAGCACTAGGTCCAGCAGTGATTGCAGCTCTGTGGTGTTCTCCACTGAGGCTGGAGGAAGCTGCAACATCTTGTGTAGACTGGCTTAGCTGGCACGCTGTAATATAATTAACAAGCTTTGCTAGAGAGTGGGATTTATGCAGAATAAGCGGGATCTGAGTCTCCTTGTTTTGCAGCAATCTGTTTGTTAAGAAAGTGTCTTTCTGTCCCATGTAACTGAAGCCAGACCAGCAGGCAGGACTGGGTGAGTTAGCACATGGATACCTTCACTGTTCTTAATACATCAGCTTCACTATTCTTGGTCAGGATCAATATTATCAGAAACATTTTTAGGAAGAGTAGCTCTCTTGCCTGCCTGCTGCAAATGTATGAATACAAGAGCAAAGAACAAAAGACCCGCAAGAAATAAGAAGTGAAATCATGCCTAAACAAAGAGGTTGCCTCGACCAGCAATGTGTGGAGATGATGGTCACCACAGAATAAAGTGATTTATGGCAATCCCTGATGAATCAAATGTTATGGCTTTACCCTTCACCGACCGTTTTCAGACTGTTCTAGCTTTTGATAGCACATAATCACTGGAGTAAACCTGTACTATATCAAAAACCAAAATATCTGAATGTCATCCTGCCCTTAGGGCTGATCTCTCTGTTACTGATAGGATGCACCCACCTGGTTTCTTAGGCTCTGCATCTGATTTTACAGAGTTTAAACCCTAACTTCAGTACAGATTGAGTTTCTAGCCTCTCTGGTTTTAAGCATAACTAGAAGCCGTGCTCACATGATCACAGATTAGCTTCAGGGGCACTCTCACATTCATTGTAATGGGGTACTGAGCCTGCTTACTGGCTGTAGAAGTAATTACATTGGACAGTTTAAGTACGCAGATCTGGCTATTTTGGGACAGGGAATGGTGCTGGGCACTACACTCCAAGAGAGATCTTCCCTCTGCTTCCCACAGACCACTGAGATTGCACAGCTGTAATTCTGCAGTGATGCTGGCTTTTCATAACCAAACACCATGATGTCATAACAGAAAAATGTGTTTCTTCCTCCCTACTTCGAAACACAGTTGAGAATTCTGACATCTTCTGATCAAAGCATCAACCATAAAAAGAAGGACTTAGGGAAAGCCTGCATATCCAGCCAAGGAGACAGAGCTTTGAAGCAGGCCTGAAGTGGATCAGCCCATGACAAGGGACATTAGACACATATTTAAATGAGCTGTCTGATCTGTAATGAATGAGATTCCACTCTGATCAATGACAGAGCCAATGTTTCCCTGAGACCACCGTAAGCCTTGGATAAAAGAGCCAAAATCAAATGTTTTCTCCTTGGCTGTAGAACCTTCTCCATAGAATCATATCCATTCTCCGAAGTATTAAACACTGAGCCAGGATTGTAAATCTATTCTTAATTACCCTATCACAAATATTTAATGCGCAGCCTGATTCAAGAGGGCTGTTTATAAAATTCTTGTTTGTTTGCCTTCTAATTATAAATGTTTATGATCTTATGCAATTAACTGTGTGATGCTGATGGATGGGTTGCTGAGTCAACTGAGCACCTGTTTTCTTAGATAATTTTGGTTTCCAAATATTTATAAAAGTACAAAATAACTTGTTTTCATCTGTATTTACTGGGTTCTAAATTACTTATCGATTTCCCAGTGTCAAGCTCAGGAAGCTGTAAAATTAAAAAGGAACCAAGTGGAGGGGTGGGCAGACTGGCGGAAGTAACAGTGATCCATTTGCAAGAGTAAATGCCAGGAGTGAGCAAGAGTCCATCGGTTATATCAAGTTGCAGGATGCTTAATGCTCCCATCGAAACGAATTTTGACTGCCTGAGAAAAATTAGGATTGGAATTCCTGTGTTCAGCTCTGTGCATCCCCTTCCAGACACACCCCTCCCTGGAGGATCATTCTTGTTTACAGAGGTGAAACTTTCCAATTAAAGGCCAGACTTAAGTGGGAAATCCTTCAGGAAGAACTGTATTCAACTAGAAGTGTCCAGCTAGAAACAATTATTCCATAAGACAAATCCTGTGTATGTAGGGAAGACAGCAGGTTGGTGTGAACTTCTCTCTTTGTGCACTTCTCTCTTTTCAATGCAGAAATGTCTATATGAAAATTTCAGATGGATTCTGGTAGTGGCCTCGTGCTTTTCCACTCATCCCAAGTTTATCTCAAAAATCTGTTCTCAATGGATCCTTTGTGAAAACCACCCTCTTCGGAAGGAAAATCTCTGTGAGTTTCCTGCAAAACCTGTTGGTCCAGATTGTTGCCTGGTCTGTGAAATCCCTTGTTTGTGGTGCTGGTGAAATGAAATTCCTATGGAAGATGGACACTGAAGATGTGCTGTTCTCATTCCCCTTTTCTCAGGTAGAGACCTGGCTGCCCCAGCGTCAGAAGAAATTCCTTGAGCTGAAAATTATTGAATGCTGGAAGAAGTATTCAGGGGAACTATAATATACACTTGTCTTGTTCTTATTTCACGCTTATGTCTGTTTGAGGCCATTGATGGGAACAGGGCAGCTGGCTAGGTGGAGTCTTGGTCATTCTTATATTCTTAGACATTTCTACATGCACTGGCTTGTACTGTGAAAAGATTTCCCAGAAGGCTCTGGAGCTGGAGACAGCCCATATTATGTGACAGGGGCCTTAACCTGACAGCAAAATCTACAAAAAAAACTTCTAATGCCTCTGCTTGCATTGTCACATTGATGTGGTCGTGCTGTTCCCAGGACAAGATACAGTGTCTCTGAGCTAACATGATAGGGTTAACCCAATGCAGTGCTCTGAATTAACACATGCTGAATCTGGAACAATATATACAGGAAACCATATCGATCCCTTTCCACTGTGTTCACTCTCTCCATATATTAGCCTTTTTTTTCTCTTTCTCTTGTGGCGTTATTATTATTGAGTCCATGTAGAGGGTCAGATCATGGTTAGCCCTGTGGATCTCTGCAGAGTCCAGCCAGGAGGGACTAGCGATTATCCGGAGTGCAGGGGTTACTTCCCAAGGCTGAGGTCTGCTTTGTGCTTCACAGCGCAGGCAAACACAACAATACCTTGGCAATAGGTCCTGCCAAAACTGTACACATTGCTTACGCTGGTATTTTATGCTTCCTTTTATTTATTACACATGGGAGAGTACCCAGCACCTAACCACTGCAAAACTACCACGGTAAGTGACCCAGCCCCAAAGAGCACAGAGCCTGGTTCCAGATTGGAATTACAGCAAGAGGTAAGCAACATCAACACAGGTTAGCTAGGCAAGGGTTGTGTCGTGCAGCTGCATACCCAATCAGTGCATGCCCACAGCATCTGGGAGAGCAAGCTGACAACTGCTGACTCTGGAGAAAGACTTACCTCTTCCATTTACCCCCACCCTCACTCTCGTTTTCACTCCAGAGCAAGAATAACTGGACTGTTTCTTTTCCAGATGGTTGAGATGCAGCCCGCAACAGAGCTAGTGCTGGTGAAATCAGCATGGAACACAATTTCCATGTTCTACTGATTGCCACAGCTAACCCTGAGCTTCTGGACTCTTAAAATGCAAGAGTTAGAAAAGGGAGCATGACCAAGGGTGAGTATCATGGCCCAGAGGTAAGGCTCATGTCACTGTAGGATTCCTCTGAGCCTTGCAATACCTGGCCACACCACATCATGATCCACATGGGCAGTCTCTGTGCAAGGAAATGTTCTTGGTGCTAAGGGTGGACAGATATGGGCTGTGTGCGGGCGGCCCTTTGTCTCTTGGAATTAGTTGGGATAGAGGTGCATTGCCATCAGTGGGCCTGCAGCAAGACTGGTCAAGAGAGAGGTCCTCAGCCTAATGGGTAGAAGAGCTGTTGGAAGAAGATGGGCAAAACCCAGATGTAACAAGGACCACCGTGTTTGTGCCTCTGGATGGGCAAGAGGGGATCAGTTGGTGTACCACCACCCTGTGAGATTAACCCAAGTGGTTGTGAGTCTCCAATTTAAGGCAACTTTAGAGCAGAAATTTCCCAGAAATGACAGGCAGTCACTTTAT